TATTGAAAAAATGATTTAGTATTTTATAGTAAATTTTATTTTGTTTCATGTATCGAAAATTCATTTGTTTGGGATTGGATATGGAATATTTAGCAAGTTGATCTTAGATTGAATAGTGCACATATGAACTAGTTTTACAAATTAATTCACCTAAGATTTGAACATGAACAATCATGTTTATTAAATTATTAGTAAGAAAAATGTACTTTAGACATTATAATTCCAAAAAGCAACTAATATATCCTATGACATAATGAAAATTTTTGAAGCAATTATGTTGTGTGGTAAAATCAAGTGCATATTGTACTTTTACCACAGATAGTATATGATTTTTTCCTGAATTTCTTATACTGCTTATGCTAAGACCATAAAAGGATCACAAAGACATGACATCAAATAGGATATTAAAAAGTATAGGATAGGATATTAAAAAATTTGGAACTTTAGAATTGTAGACGTGGGTACAGGACGTCTGTCAGATCATCTAGTATATATATAATTGTGTAAATATTTCATTTATTTGTAATGTCTGGCAGTCCTTTTATCACATTCTTGCTTTATCAATTCAAATATTTCTTTTCTGAGTTATCTATTACTGTTATCTATCGTACATTCCAAAGCTCTCCCACACATATTTTTTTGTAAGCACTTATAAATTAGGTGTATGTGGCATTTTGCCTTAGGGAAAGTTGCTAAAAATTGATAATATGTATATAATCAGCATAATGAATACAACTTAAGCAACTTAAAATCGTGATAACACGATTTTAAAGTTTTCACACTGCCCATTATGTCAAACTTTGCCAAAATTTTTAAATCTAACCATTATGTAGGCTCAATATTTTAGGATGTTTGTTAAGAAAGAAAAAAATAATACATTTCTGAACATTTTGGCATACTTTAGAAAAAATGTGTGTGTATGTATGTATACAATGTGTGTGTGTATGTATGTATGGATACAATTTTTTGTCCACATTTTCGGGAAGACGGATCAACCATTTGAATGATTTAAAAACCATTCGATTCCTATTGATAAGGAGATGTGCTGATTAGTTTTTGGCAAAGGCAGATCCAGCCGTTTCGTAGATCCGGAGCAATGAGTGCAGAAAATAGAAATCGTGTTTTTGACAGCATCTAATTTGAATAATCCAAAAAGTATTCAATTCGTAATAATGGAAAGAAGTGGAGATCAGATTTTGGCAAAGGCAGGTCCAGCCGTTTTGGAGACACTGAGCTAAATGTGCAAAAAATGGTTGTTTTTGAGAGATATAAGCATCCGATTTGAATGATTCATAAAACTTTTTGCTTGTGTTGACGAAACTATTGCTCTTGGGGGAAGAAAATCATAATTTTTTGTTTTTAATTTCCAAAAAATATACTTTGTTACTAAATTTTGTTATTAGAATATTTCATTATGGTACTGGAAGTTCCAGCAATTTGCCTTAAGGCACGATGCCATACACCACTAGTTGTTTTAATTTCAATTTTATTTTAATATTTTTAATAATATTTATGTTTTAATCTACAACCAACATTATTTCAAACACATTCACCTTTCGATGAAGACTTTCTGACCATCGTCAGAGATTTAGTCATTTTTATTTTTTCTTTAATCAACTTCCCGTTGATAAGTTTTTACCAGAAAATCCAGTTTGATATTTTTATATATTGTTAACCAACTGTAATAGTATTTATTAATAACACAATATCATTTTATTAAAATTATTCCATTTTTTTATTTTTTTTTTATATATATCGGTAATAATCAGATTTCAATTTGAATTCTGGCTAAAGTTCTAAAGCTCACTTATATACTTTAAATAAATATTTTTGACTTCGTGATTCAGTTTATATAATTCTTATAAATATTATACAATGTTACATTATTTATTTATAATAATCTATTTGAAAACATTTAATATTCTTCGAACATTTCGTTACGGTACGGGAAGTTCCAGCAATTTGCCTTAAGGCACAATGCCATACACTACTAGTTTTTATTTTGTTCATAATTGTACAATATATACATCTGTAGTAAGTATTTAGATAACGCTTACCATGCATATCCAAGCCTAAGTAAAAATGTATGAGAAAGCGTCGTGTTAGGTTCGGACGACATAGAAAGCACTGGTATTTTTTTTTAATTCAAACTATTTTTTGAACAAAATGCATGGACTCATTAACAATTTTAAAAGTTTCTATATTTTATGTTTCCAATTTCAGCTTTATCTGACAAGGAATGTGACTTGTGGGTTAAAGCATTGAGGCATTTAGCTGCTGATACTGTAAACTCACCTTATCCATTGGCAGTCGAGAGATGGCTTCGACGTGAATTTTATGCAGTTGAGAACCAAAGGGAGACGTAAGTTTAAAAAAAACTTATACTTCTTTACAAGAACCTTTCTGTACGAGAAACTTTTCCCCAAAAGTGAGACTGTCGTAAGAGCCAGCAGTCCTACATCTATTAAAAGATTTTCCAATCATTAACTAGCTGTAAGTGGAATTCTGTCTTAAGGCAATTAAGGCATCGTGCCTTAAGGCAAATTGCTGGAACTTCCCGTACCAAAAATTATTATTTTTTTAAAAACGATTAACATTTTTGAAAAAAAATTACTTTGAAAAAATAAGATTTTTGAGAAACTATAAATTGGACAAAAAATTACTTTTTTTTTCTTTTCTTTTTTTCAAAAAATTTTTTTTTCTTTATTTGGCATATTGTGGAAGATCTGAACTTTTTTTTCAAAGCAATCGTACTGCTTTAACTGCATAGGGACAAAATATAAAGCGCGTAAGCGCCGCGTCGCTGTCTAACGCACAAGCATTGGTACGGAACCCATAGGAATGTTAACAAAATGTATACTTATTGTTAAAATCTCTATAAAATATCTGATAATTTGATGCACATATGTCTAATGATCATTTTTGACCGCCAAATGGCTCATTTTTTTACTTTTTCCTCCATATCTCCGAAACCGCTAGACCTACCTTCATGAAAATTTTATCGATTCTTCATCTTGTCAATACAAGTGAAATGTTTTTTGAATTATCCAAATCGGACTCTCCGTTCTCTTAAAAACTGAGTTACCGTTTTCGGCACTTTTTGCCCCGTATCTTCGGAACGGCTAGACCTGCCTTCGCCAAAAACTAATCAGCACGTCTCCTTATCAATACGAATCGAATGTTTTTTGAATTATTCAAATCGGTTGATCCGTGTTTCCGAAATCGTCGACGAAAATTTGTATCCGCACATACATACACACACGTACATACATACACTCACACATACACACACACACACATACATCCATTTTTTCTAAGGTATGCCAAAATGTTCAGAAACCTTTGAAACGTAAAGATATATAAAAATTTTCATTTTCGATTTTTTTGCGATTACTATAACTTGCCATACGGGAAGTTAATTAAAACTCGCACTTCTGAAAAACGAAAATTTACCTTAACACATTAGAATTCTTTATAATAAGAATCAACAGAGTGATAAATCTTGGAGCAAAAGTCGACACACTCATTGTCGTCTATAGATGACACTCGTACACAAAGGTAGTCCTGTGCATGTCTTCTATAGGCGACGCTCTTAGAAAAAGAGTTAAACACATATATTTTAAATATTCATTACAAAGGTTTTACTTCTACATGAGTAAATATTACCTTAACAAATTAGAATTTTTAATAATTTAACACAGAGTGATAAATCTCGAAGCAAAAGTCGACACACTCATTGTCGTCTATAGACGACACTCGTACACACAGGTCGTCATGCACATGTCTCCTATATGCGACGCTAGTAGCAAAATAAATACATATACTTTAAAAATTCATTAAAAAAACATCTTACCAAGTTGTGATTCTACTTTTACTTAGAAGTGTTTTTCTGTTTCAGAGTATCGATGAAAGAAGTGAAACTATTTCTACCTCGTGTAAATTGCAAACTTGCTACACATAAGTTACGAGAGGAGTTTCAGAAAGTTGATACGAGTAACAGGACTGAATTGGGGTTTGATGATTTTGCTATGCTGTATCATAAATTGATATTCGATGAATCTGTAGGAATTAATATATATATATATATATATATATATATATATATATATATATATATATATATATTATATGTTAACTTTATTTTTTTTAATTACTTGTTTATTGTCTCTAATTACACTCTGTACTATATTCATATCTCTTCTTCTTTCTCTCTCTCTCTCTCTCTCTCTCTATATATATATATATATATATATATATATATATATATTAGGGTGGTCCTTAAAATGGTCATTTTCGATTTTCCTTGCTCCCAGGGGCTCAAATGGTTCCAAACAGATAAAAAACAATTCTCTGAAAGTTTTAGCTTTTAATATTAACGTTTAGATAGAGCGCAATTCAATCAAAGTTTTGTATGGAAATAGCATGAAAAAAATTTCAAAAATTTAAAAAATGTTTTTTAGATGTAAGTTAGCGAACAAATGAATGAATAAAACTCTTTCATTTGTCGCTAAGTTATACCTAAAACATTTTTTTTAAATTTTCAAAATTTTTCCCATGCTCTTCCCATACGAAGTTAGATTAAATTGCGCTCTATCTAAACGTTAATATTAAGAGCTAAAACTTTCAGAGAATTGTTTTTTATCTGTTTGGAACCATTTGAGCCCCAGGGAGCAAGGAAATTCGAAAATGACCATTTTAAGGACCACCCTAATATATATATATATATATATATATATACATATATATATATATATATATATATATATATATATATATATATATATATATATATATATATTATATTATATTTAATTTACCATTTATTTTTTATTCAAATTTTTCTTTTTCTAGAGGATTCAAGATTACTTTGACTGCTTTTCCGAGTACTGTTCAGATGGAAAAATCGTATCGCTTCAAGAGTTCCAGAAATTTTTATTGCAAGAGCAAGATGATCCCATGGGTGAAGATGTTAGGGCAACGTCACAGTTTTTAAGAGATTACTTACAAGAACCTTTGAGGGATATTCAAGAGCCTTATTTTACAGTCTCTGAGGTAAAGGAATGATAAGAGTAGTAATTAAATATGACTCATGATATAATATGCAGTGTATGATTAGTATTTCTGTACTATATGATTAGTAAAGCGAGTTAATATTATTATAATTTGGATATTGTTATTCTATATATTCTTATTTGATTTTATTTTGTTTTCTTTTTCAGATTTTAGATTTTTTATTTTCAAAAGACAATGAAGTTTGGGATTCAAGGAATGATGTTGTCTACCAAGACATGACCAGGCCGATGGCTCATTATTGGATTGCTTCATCACATAACACGTAAATAATTTTTTTTTGCAAATAAATTTATACAACTGATGGATAAAGTAATATCTGGATATCTGTATTAAAATTATAATTAAATTCAAAATTTAACGCCAAGCCTCCGCCATTTTGAATTGCATTTCAAAATGGCGTTAAATTTTAAAACGAAATTCAAAATGGTGGATGTTGTCAATGGTTTGTCTGCACAGTAATTTATATTGGTAATTTTTAAGTAATGTATTAACCATTTTATGAAAAAATAACTCTAATTGTGATATTGCTCGCTGTCTGGTACTTGAATGTAAAAAGATAAAATCAAAATCAGCTGTTAAAACAAAAGATAATGGTTTACTTGTGTACAACCTTTTGCCAGCTTTTTACATAAATTTATCAATCTATCATTATTATTATTATTACAATTATTATTTCTATTACTATTTCAGTTATCTAATGGGGGATCAGTTCTCATCAGAGTCTTCAGTAGAAGCGTACGCCAGGTGTCTCCGTGCAGGATGTCGTTGTGTGGAACTCGATTGTTGGGACGGACCTGATGGAATGCCATTTATTTATCATGGCCATACGTTGACCACCAGGATTAGATTTCTGGATGTGATCAAGACTATCAGGGAACATGCTTTTGCTACTTCTGATTATCCAGTAAGTAGAAAAGAGAATGGACACAAATGGTTTATCTGATACAAGAGATAGATAAATAAATACAACAAATGAGTAGCAATATGAATATAATTATAAAATTGATAAATACTCTTATGTTTTGCAAAGATGTTAATATTTATATAAATTGTTATTATTTTTTTAGGTTATTCTTTCCATCGAAGACAACTGCACACTGCCCCAGCAACGCAAAATGGCGTCAGCGATGCTCGAAGTCTTCGGAGACATGCTAATTACCCATCCTGTAGAAAAAAACGAAACCAAACTACCTTCCCCTTATCAACTCCGCAAAAAAATAATCCTAAAGCACAAAAAGCTACCTGAAGGAGTCGAAGAAAATTCCTTAAAGCACTTCTTAGAAGACATTGATTTGCAAAGAGAAATAGATCTACGAAACACTGTCAAAAATGGTATTCTATTCCTTGAAGACCCAGTTGACAAAGAATGGAACCCCCATTTCTTTGTTTTGACAGAGAATAAATTATTTTATACGGAGAGTTATAAGCAGGATGAAGCGGAGAAGGATGATGATGATGATGAAGGACATTTTGTTAAGCAGAAAGACAATGTTCCTAATGATGAGTTGCATTTTGGAGAGAAGTGGTTCCATGGGAAGTTGGCTGGTGGCAGGAAAGAGGCTGAGGATTTGTTGAGGCAGAATTCGGGGCTGGGGGATGGCACGTTTTTGGTCAGGGAGAGTGTTACATTTGTCGGCGATTATTGTTTATCGTTCTGGAGACAAGGAAAGGTGAGGGAAAGGATAAACTATTAAGATTTATCTTATATTGTATTAATAAAAAAATATCTTTTTGAGTTAACTAGGTTTTAAAATTTTAAAGACTTTAGGGTGTCAATTTTTAATATGTAATTCTTATAGACTTTTTTTATATAGTTTTTGTTATAGTTGGCTATTATGTTTTAGTATAGAATTGTTATAAACATTATACTAATACATTTTTAGGGTGCCAATTTTTAGTATGAAATTTTTAAGGATTTTTTTTTTTAGAATTTTTTGTAATATTTTTTTTAAGGTTTTAGTATGAATTTATTAAAGATTTTGTTGAAACATGTTTTTTAAGATGTCAATTTTTAATATGTTTTTAGTATACCAATTTTCAGCATGTCCTTTTTTCAACATATTTTTTTGGGTGCCATTCTTTGGTATGAATTTATTAAAAATTTTATTGTAACACATTTTTTAGAGTACCAATTTTTAATAAGAAGTGTTTATGGACTCTTTTCTAAGATATTTTTTATTATATAAGTATAGTTCACAATTTAAGCAAATTTTAATGTTTTAACTTTTATTTCAGGTTAATCATTGTAGAATTAAATTAAAACAAGATAGAGGTGTCACAAAATATTTCTTAATTGATACTGTGTGTTTCGACAGTTTGTATTCACTCATTACACATTATAGAAATCATCCTTTACGGAGCCAGGTAATAAAGAAAATATTAAATATCTCTTATAATATATATATATTTGTTTTTTTTCTTTAAGGAGTTTCTTATAACTTTAACCGAACCAGTACCTCAACCAAGTGCTCATGAATCAGCCGAATGGTACAGACCTGATGTTACAAGAGCTCAAGCCGAAAGACTTTTACGAGCAGTTCCTCAAGATGGAGCCTTTTTGGTTAGACCTAGTGATAAAGAGCCTAACTCATATGCTGTTTCATTCAGGTAAAAGGATAAATAATACATTCCAAACATTAAACACACAAACCAAACAAATTTGAATGAAAACCAATAATTTTTTTTTTTCAGGGCTGATAAGAAAATAAAGCATTGCAGAATTAAACTAGAAGGTAGATTGTACACTTTGGGGACCTCAGAGTTTGAAAGTTTAGTGGAATTGATAAATTATTATGAGAAGCATCCTCTGTACAAAAAAATCAAGCTGACGACTCCTGTAAATGAGCAACTGGTTCGGAGGATGGCATTGGTGAGTAACAATTTCCAAATAATAATAATTATTTAATTAACACAAACAGTCTATTATTATTTTTTTTGTTAAATAAGTTGAATTATTTTTTTTGTTATGACATAATTGCTCCATAAACCTGCAACCATCAGAAGCTCGTTTAAATAAACATATAATTTAATGGTTTTAATAAATACTAATACAATATATTAAATTCATATTAACATATCAATTAATCATAATCTATTTTTTTCTCAAAGCCCAAATGTAATTGGGAGTTTGATTCCTGATAGGCCTTATACCGAATTTTGTAATTATACCAGTATTTATATTATTATTATTCAAATTATTATTATTATTGTTATTCCAATTTGTTCCCTGACTTCTTATCGTGTAGGTCACCGGTAAATATCTCAATGCATTCGCTTGTTTTAACCATTTTTTGTAAAAAGACATCGATGGGGCCTGGAAATCGAAAAATATAATACACAAATATACTATTAATAATATACACTAATTATAATTTTTATTACAAATATTTATTAACTATATTTCGAGTATTACAGTTAGTTTTTACCTCTGTTGTGGTGGTGAGCCTTTCAATTTTGGCGTCATTTTTCAAATTTGATACTAAAGTGTACAAAGTTCGGCCACTCGGTAAGAGTGTACTATATAGACGGATTTTTGAATTAACAGTTTGTCCAGGATGGCTTTTTAACTAGAATTTGATAAAAATAGAATTATTCATTTAGGTTTTAAGTTATTTTCCTATCTATTCATTCATTGATGGTGTAACTATGGAGGCACTTTGTAAGTATTTAACTATTAGTCACTTGGGTAAATATTTATTCACTCGATTAAGTGCTTAGCAGTTTGTTTAGGCATTTCAAATAACGATTCAGTATATTTTTTAATTATTTCGTCTTTTGATTAAGTTTGACTCACGTTTAACAGTGTAGTTACTTGCTTCACTATTCATTCGTTTGTTTAATTATTTACAAATATTTATTCGCGTGTTTAAGTATTTAATCCTTAATTTAACTATTAAGACTCAAATTTAATTGTTCATCCCTGTAGCTATTTATTCACTTGTTTAAATATGTACTTCTTTATTGAGCTATTTTGTCTATTGTTTAACTATTTAGTATCTTGTTTAACTATTTAATCTAGTCACGCCTTTAATTATTTAGCTATTTAGTGTATTGCTTAACTATTTAGTATCTTTTTTAACTATTTAATCTAGTCAGGCCTTTAATTATTTAGCTATTTAGTCTATTGTTTTTCTATTTAGTATCTTGTTTAACTATTGAATATAGTCACGCCTTTAATTGTGTAGTCTTTCGATTAGCTTTTTAGTCATACGTCTAATTATGCAGTTACTCATTTAAGTATCTAGTATTTAGTTCAACTACTTAGTCCTTCATTTAACTATTTAGTCACATATTCAGCAATTTAGTCATTGATTTAATAATTTAGTAATATTAAATCAATCATTAATATTATCTGTTACTCATTTATCTACTACCATTTATTTATCTTTTAATAATTTAACTATTTTAATATTTATTTACTCATTTATATTCCCAGTTTGTCATTTATTCGCCCATCCATCAATTTATCTATTTATCAATCAATTTATCAATTCAAATCAAAGCTAATATCAAATTTATAATATCTATAACAATACCTTTTGTTGAATATTATGTAACGGACATTTTAAATAACGGCTACTTTTTTCAACTGTCAAATTTTCCGTTGTCGTGACAGCATCCGTTGTAACTTCAGACTGGTTAGGCGACAACGTATTTGCGTTAGTAAAATTCATTGTTGCCAATGTCTGGAAAATATAAAACACTAGATATAGTAATTCTTGAATGATAAAATGAATAACAATGGATTGTAAAAATTATAAAACGATTTATTAAATTGTTTTTACAAGTGTAAATATTGGTGGGCGGTTTATAATTTGAATTGATTATAACTTGAATACTATATAACTTGCATTAGCCATAAATAAATATGTGATTATGTTTAATTAACAAATAGCAAATATAACAACAAATGACAAGTTAATTCACCATAATATTTCATATTCTTCAACTTTAAAGTGCCAACTTAAATTTTCCAGTAATAATAAGTATCCAGTAATAAGTATAAAAAATGATAGTATAATAATATATAATCAAAATAATAATTTAACAAGTATTTCATATTGCTGATGCAATGTTTTGTGATTAAAAGTCGCTTAGGAACATATACTTTTCGGACACTACAGATCAAAGTAAGATACTTTGCAGAAGAAACCACATCTCGAAAATAAATTCTGATGTCCCGTGCATTGACCCAAAAATAAGGGTCGAAATTTGAAAAATTCCATTTTGACCCATTTAGAGTGTCCCAATTGCCTCCAAAAGTATGACCGATCTCCACTAACTTTGGAAGGCCGATCCACTCATGCTCCTGGATCAACTTTTGAGACTTCCCCTTAGATTTTTTTCAAATCTCAACCCTTATTTTTGGGTCCATGCACGGGACATCAGAATTTATTTTAAAGATATGGTTTCATCAGCAAAGTATCTTATTTTGATTCCTAGTATCCAAAAATCATATGTGCACAAGCGACTTTTAAATATGTATATACTTACATATATTTAAATATAAATAAACTAGTGGGGCGCATGGCATCGTGCCTTAAGGCAAATTGCTGTAACTTCCCTACCAAAAATTATTTTTTTAAAAAACTTGAATATTTTTGAAAAAAATTTACTTTGAAAAAAATAGATTTTTGAGAAACTATAAATTTTTGAAAAAAAAAATTTTTTTTGGAAAAAAGACTTTTTGAAAATTATTTTCTTTATTTTGAAATATTTTGGAAGTTCTGAACTTTTTTTAAAAACTTGATTTGCTTTTCAAAGCAAATCATACTGCTTTAACAGCATAGAGACGAAATATCGAAGCGCGTAAGCGCCGCGTCGCCGTCTAACGGATAAAAATTGGATCGAAACCTATACGAATGTGAACAAAATTTATACTTATTGTTAAAATCTCTATAAAATATCTGATAATTTTATGTGCATATATCTAATGATCATTTTTGACCGCCAAATGTATTTTTTTTTACTTTTTTCTCCGAAACCGCTAGACCTGCCTTCATGAAAATTTAATCAGTTCTTCATCTTGTCAATACAAGTAAAATGTTTTTATCAAAATCGGACGTTCTCTTAAAAACTGAGTTACTGTTTTTGGCACTTTTTGTCCCGTATCTTCGGAACGGCAAAACCTGCTTATGCCAAAAACCAATCAGCACGCCTCCTTATCAACAGCAATCGAATGTTTTTTGAATATTTGAAATCGGTTGAACCGTGTTCCCGAAATTGTCGACGAAAATTTGTATCCGCACACACACACACACACACATACATCAATTTTTTCTAAGGCATGCCAAAATGTTCAGAAAATTCTGAAAAGTAAAGATATATAAACATTTTCATTTTCGATTTTTTTGCGATTACTATAACCTACACTACGAGAAGTTAATTAATAAAAACTATCAATTTACCAATAAAAGAAGTACACTGTACATCTTGAACATTTTCCAAAAATATATCGCAAAATTGCACTTTATTATTATTTTTTAAACAATATATGTATATTATATTAAATTTAACTAAATTGTTTATCTTTTCACTCAAAATAAATCAAAATAATTATTTATACACATGTTTTCTAAAGTGTGTACAATATGAAACTGATTTGATGAAACTTGCCTACTAAAAATAACAATCTGTATATATATATATATATATATATATATATATATATGTATATGTAGTATACATATAAATATGTATATATGTATATATGTATATATATATATATATATATATATATATGCATATGTGCATGCATGTATATGTTTATATTATATATACATTTTTTCTATGATAAATTGATAGGCGCGCTAAGGATCATTAAATTTTATTTTTTGCTTCGAGAATTTAATTTAGTTTTTTTTTTCTTTTTGGATAAAAGTCATTCGTCACTGTGGCATTTTGATTATTTGATATATATATATATATATATATATATATATATACATATATAAAGGAATGTATATATAATTAATTTTTTTTAAGGTGATTTAATAAAATGATTTTTGACGGGTCAGCGTTCGAGTACAATAGCACGCGTTGATTGGAAAATAAAAATAAATATAAACATCAGTATTTTTAAATTATATTTATTATATATATTTACACACACACTCACACACACTGCACATCTATTTAGTGCATTGCATCGTGCCTTAATTGCTGGAACTTCCCGTAGCGTAATTTAAAATTTTTAAAAGCTCAGAAAAGATTATATTTTATTGTTGAGATTTTTAATTTTTTTCGAAAATCGTGATCGAATATTACAGAATTTATTAATCAGCAATTACTTCGTTTCTCTAATGAAGGTTAAAGTCCTAAATTCTAATTACAATGACAAACCGATCATGTCATATTTTTTGAAGTATGACTTTAATTACATTATTGTTATCAAATATTATAAATATTTTCAATGCTATTATAAATATATAATTTATAATATATTATTATAATTAATATTAAATTTATACACACTAATAAATGTGTGCATCACGAGTGTTACAATATTACTAGTTATTATACAAAATTGTTATATGATGTATTTATTTTCAACTTAAATGTCATCTCGTACAATAGCAAAAAAGTTTTACTGCAATCGCGTGTGAACCTTACGCGCACTCTTTTTTTAAATACTAATATTTTTTGAAATCTTAAAAATTTTTTGAAAACTGATTTTTTTGTAAGTTTTTTTACGGATCAACTACTCTTGATGGTTGAAAATATCTGATTTTTGACTGCCAAGTGATATTTATTTCTGGAGCTCCAAAACTGCAGGACCTGCCTTTGCATAAGTTTTAAAAAAAAATCATCAAGTCAATACAAGTAGAATATTTTTTGAATCATTCAATTCGGATGCTCATTCGGAAATCATTCTCTCAAAAACTCTATTGCCATCTTCTGCACATTTTGCTCTATATTATATCCTAATCGGCTGGACCAACTTTGTCCAAAAATTAATCAACGCATCTCCTTATCAGTAGGATTCGAATGTTTTTTGAATATTTCAAATCGGTTGATCTGTGCGCCCGAAATCGTGAACGAAAAATTGTATCCACATATACACACACATTTTAAGCATTTACTGCGTTGAGTAAAATAATATTGAGCGATTATTATGAAATTATTTGTTTATTTATTTATTCAAAGCCCAAGGCAATAAGACAATATAATTACATTTCAAAGTGTACAAATTATATACTAAAGATAAATTCGATCAATTATCTCATAATCTTACTAATGCAAAATGTAACTTTATCTATAATTTTATTAATTTATCTGGTCTCAACCAATATAATTCTGTTATCAATATCAGTGGCAGATTGTTGGATTTAGTGTTTTGTTCTTACTTTTGCAACATAATTCATGATACCGAACCCCTTTTACCTGAGGACAATTATCATCCTGCTCTTTATATTTCTGTTTCCCTTACATCTTCTTTTTCCACACCCAATACTTTGCAATTTAATAAAAATAACTATCATCACAATTTCCACAAAGCGGATTATCTTAATCTTTATAGGGAAATTTTAAATACATCGTGGAGTTCTTTGTATACATGTTCTGACATTAATGATGCATGTGATCTTTTTTACGCTACAATTTATAGCTTATTAGATAAATTTGTTCCTAAAACAAAGAAATTTACTTCCAATAAATTTAAGCCTTGGTTTAATTCTGATATTATTAGAAACCTCCGTATGAAGAAATACTATCATAATAAATACAAGTTAACCAATATCACTTTCTATTATGAAAATTTTAAATTGTACAGGAAATTAATAAAAATACTTATGAAAGATGCCTATAATTCATATATTATTGACGTTGAAAATTCTCTATCGCTTGATCCTAAATATTTTTGGTCTTTTTTGCGTAATAAAACTGCTTCTAATATTATTCCTAATAGATTGTGCTATCTAGACAAATATTATGATTCTCCTGATGCTATTGTTGATGCATTTAATTCTTACTTTATTAGTGTTTATCAGCCTAAACTTGACATACCCATTTTATTTGATCATAATGATAGAATCATGATTGATATAGGTGAAATTGATTCTAGTACTGTGCAACTTGCAATAGCAAGTTTTAAGAACTCCAAAATATTTGGTTTCGATGGTATTCCATCTTTCTTTATACGTGATTGCTCATCTACTCTATCTGATCCACTTGCATTTTTATTTAATCTATCTTTGCGTACAAACACTTTTCCAAATTGTTGGAAAATTGCACGATTAGTTCCAACTTTTAAACAAGGTGTTACATCAAACATTACTAATTACAGGCCGATATCATTATTATCAAACTTTGCTAAGGTATTTGAAAAAATTATTTATAGAGAACTAATTCCTTCTGTTAGAACTTTAATTTCTATTAATCAACATGGTTTCATGCCTGCCCGTTCTACGATAACAAATTTAATTTGTATTAAACAATATATAGCTGAGAATCTTGACATCAATGGACAAGTTGACGTTATTTACACTGATTTCAGTAGAGCTTTTGACAAAATTGATCATAACATTCTTCTTACTAAATTATCTAAGATTGGTCTTAATTCTTCACTTATTCACTTTTTCAAGAGTTATCTTCATAATCGCAAGCAGTTTGTCTTTCTTAATGGATTCTTGAGCAACATTGAAAATATTAGTTCAGGAGTTCCTCAGGGATCCATTCTTGGTCCACTATTATTTATTATTTTTATTAATGACATTTCTGATACTATTAACTGTCCACATTTATTATTTGCAGATGATCTGAAACTATATCTCAAAATAAATTCTATTGATGACTGCTTATTGTTACAGTCTCAACTTGACCTTTTCCAATCTTGGTGTATCTATAACAAATTACATCTAAATATATCAAAGTGCAAGATTCTTAGTTTTACACATAAGCGCGTTCCAATACTTTTTGATTATAAAATTTCTAACACCAGCATTGATAGATGTAATAAAATTTCCGATTTAGGTGTTCTATTTGATTCTGGTTTGTTTTTCACAGATCATGTTACTGATATTTGTAATAGAGCACATCAATCTTTAGGTTTGATACTAAGAAATTGTAAACAATTTAAGTCTACCAATGCACTTCTTTGCATGTACTATTCTATTGTACGTTCAAAATTAGAATACGGTTCGATTATTTGGTATCCTCATCATATCAACAACTCTGATGCGATAGAGAAGGTTCAGCGAAAATTTCTGAAATACCTTTATTATAAAACATATAAAATTTACCCTGAACGTGGCTTTGACCACAACACTTTACTAAAAGAATTTGGTATTCCTTCCCTTGCCTCACGTCGATTTATCTGTACAATTATGTTCTTATTTAAGCTTTGCAATAATTCTATAGACTGTCCTCTTATTCTCAATCAACTATCCTTTAATGTTCCAAGGCTATCTTCGCGTTCACAATTATTTTTCAATTATCCTACCCCTAAATCTAATTCTCTCTTAAATTCGCCAATTTTACTAATGTCCTCTAACTTTAACTTAATTAATAATGAAATAGACATTCACAACACTTCACCTAATCAAATAATTTCCATCTGCACAAGTTAATCTTTGTATTTTCTTTCAAATATCTCATTATTTTCTGTTTATAAATATTATTGTTACATTCTGCATTATATGAAATTTTATCTTAGCATTTTATGTTACTAACTATATATTGTAATTTTGTATATATTTTAATTGTTATTCATTATGTCAAATAATTGTATTTTTGAGTCCTCTTGGAGTAATCTGTGGGCTATATATTTAAATAAATAAATAAATAAATAATATCAGAAAATTTGAGTATTAAGAGTTCATAGATAGCTTTGTATATATACATAACACTTTCCAGTAAACCGCAAACGTTTAATTAAATTAAAATAATGCAGCACAGAAGAAACGCCGTTACGTATTTGGTGGCTACCGTTAATAAAACGTAAATGTTACGTATATTTGTTACCTTTAATCGGCCTCAACGTTGATACTTTGTTTTTTGTTCAATACGTAACAGTTATGTTACACTGTTTCGTAAATTTTACATACAAAATGGAATTTAATTCATTATTTGCCCCTATATTTATTTTTGACAACATTCTTTCACATTAACTTTTTCCAAAAACTATTTTTTTTAATAGTTTTACAATTAGTTATTTATAAAACCAGTTCAATTATTATTTATCACTTTGCAATTATTTATATTAGCTATTGATTTGTTTTTTTTATTTTTAGGAAAATGACGACGGTTGTGTGTACGGAACCCCTGGCTACATGGACCCCTCAGCATTTACTTCAAAAGTGAGTTTTTTTTTGAAAAAAAAAATAGTCGTTCTACTAGTTTTATGAATAGTTAGTTAGCTTGAATTTTGTGCTTTTTATGTATGCATTTTTTGCGAAAATTATGAAGCTTTTTATAGATATTTATTTATTTAGTTGCAACGTGTGTAAAATCCATTTAAAAATAAATAAAACCTTGCTTAGTTTTTTTTTCCTTTTCAATAAAAGGATGGTTGATTGTATCATTTTTTTCATCTACTATAGTATAATTAAAATTAAATTTATAACTAATTTGAATTTTTATTTACATTTAAACAATAATTAAAACATAGATATTTTGACACTAAAACAAATATGCAGTGTTGCCAACATTATAACACGTATGAAGTTAGCAGCAGGTTTCTATCGAGCATAAAAATGAACATTTACATCACCTTAACATTTCATAAAATTATTTATCAGTTTTATTTTATTTCTTTTATTTTTACTTATTCATTATCATTGCCATCCATCACTTTTCATCCAAAAATATAGATAACTGTGAAAGCCCTATACGACTATCGGGCTTCTCGCGAGGACGAACTGTCGTTCTGCAAACACGCCATCATTTCCAACGTCTGCAAACCGGATGCGGGCTGGTGGCGAGGAGACTACGGCGGAAGGAAACAGTTGTGGTTTCCCAGTAACTACGTTGAAGAAATTACTTGTAGCAGTGTCGTTGGACAGGGGGGCCAAGGTGGTCCAGGAGGACATGGGAGTGAGGATGAGAGCGAGGTAAGAGTAAGGGATGGAGGGTGTAAGAGAGGAGCAATTGGTTGGGTTTTGAAAAGACTTGTAATAGTATTGTCTGGTGGGTAGGGTAAGATGAATTTTAGTTTGCTGGTTAATTTGATCATCAGTAACATTCTTTTTCAATATGTGAATGATTGTGAAACTAAAACAATTCTTCTCTAAAAGTGTGGTAAGCCTCAAGCCAGAAGGGGAATGAAATGAATCAAGAAAAAGGTATTGTTATACACGATAGGAGTTCTGGCACACCACAATGTCTGTTGTAGACCTTTTTTAATTCTAGATTTAGGAAAACACTTATAACTAAGTTGCTGGAGTTAAAAAGATTTATATGACATCTATAATTCCTTTTTAGCACGCACAAGCACAAATTGAGCACGCAAGCATAATAGTAATTAATATTCATTTTGTCCTTCACATAAATTGTGCATTTACAATAATGATAACCAGGCCTATACATTAGATTAAAAGAACACTTGGTAACTGAAGAATATGTCTTCTATCCTTTTCCAGACATCAGATCAACTCCTGCTAGGGTCCCTCCAGAAAGGTTCTCTGGACCTTACGGGTGCTGTGGTGGAACTTTCAGCCTTGACGATACCTGTGCCAGTGGGCGGACCTCAAAATATTGGTCAGGGTCAACGTGTAGAATGGTTGTTGAGGGTGCAGACACCTGAGCAGTGTTCTGCTTTTGAAGCTGGAGTCGGGAGCAGGGACCAGGCCTTGGGTAAGGGAAAAAGAAATGTTCATATATATAAAAATATGTATATTTGCTTATATATATTATTTTTTAGAGTGGACGAACGCTTTGAAAGAATCAGCCCAAACAGCAAGTGCTAAAGAGTCGAAGCATAAAGAAATGGAACGCGCTTGGAGAGTTGCTAAAGAAATGAGCAATTTAATTATATATTGCAGGTAAGCAATATATTATATTTCATTGTCTAAAAGCATTTGCTCTATGAAAAATTGGCAACTTGCTGCACTCATATGTGACAATAGGAAATGTTTTCTTTAGGAAATATATAAAAAAGTAGTGCATGGAGACAGAAGAAGTGATAAATCATATTGTGGTAATGAAAATAGGATGAAGAGACATATCGTTTCACATCTTGTTTAAACCATAATTGATTAGCACGCAAAACCAGAATTCGTTTTAATGAATAAATCTGTTCTAATGTACTTGACCTTTTTTGCTGATGTAATTGAGTATATTGGACTTGTGAATTTATCCTTGCATTTTTGTTACTAATATTGCTTTTATCTTCATCTGTAACCTCCATTGAACCGTTAGTTTTCGAATCCTTTTGAAACTTTTTTGTTGCTCACATAAGGCACAGCAGTTGTTGGTCAATTAATAGAAGGTTCAGTTGTTTGTTGGTTGTTTTAATAGAAGATTAAGCAGTAGTTGGTCGATAATTAAAATATCCAGCAGTCTTTGGTTGATTTATAAGCGTCCCAGAAGTAGTTGGTTGGTTTATAGAAGGCGCAGCAGTTGTTGGTCGGTTAGTAGAAGTCCCAGCAGTAGTTGGTCTGTAAATAGAAGGCTAAAGAGTTGTTGGTGGATTAATAAAAGGCCCAGCAACAGTTGGTGGATTTATAAAATGCCCAGCGGCACTTGGTCGATTGATAGAAGGCCCAGCATTCATTGGTTGATTAAAAATAGCTCCAGTAGTTGTTGGTCGGTTAATAGAAATCATAGCAGTTGTTGGTTGGTTAATAGAAGGCACAGGAGTCCTTGGTCGATTAATTGTTTATAGTAATTCAGACAAGAGCTTGAGATAATATTCATTATTATTGGTTACGACATTGATGAATAAATAAATAAATAGAAGAGTTGTTGGTCGATTAATAGAAGGCCCAGCATTTGTAGATCAATTAATAAAAAATCCAGCAGTCATTGGTGGATTAATAGAATGTCCAGCAGTTGTTGATCAATTAATAGAAGATCCAACAGTCATTGGTCGATTAATTGAAGACCCACAGGCCGTTGGTCAATTTATAGAAGGCACAGCAGTTGTTGGTCATTTAATTAGAGGCCAAGCAGTTGCGTTGGTCAATAATTAGAAAGCTATAAATTATTGGTGGATTAATAGAAGGCCTAACAATCGTTGATTAATAGAAGGTCCAGTAGTCATTTGTGGTTGTTGGTCATTTAATTAGAGGTCAAGCAGTCTTTGGTCAATAAATAGAAGGCTAAAAAGTCGTTGGTGGATTAATAGAAGGCCTAGCAGTCCTTGGTTGATTAATAGAATACCATCAGTTTTTGGTCTATTAATAGAAGAGCTCAACAGGTGGATTAATAGAAGGTCCAGTAGTCATTTGTGGTTGTTGGTCGTTTAATTAGAGGTCAAACAGTCTTTGGTCAATAAATAGAAAGCTAAACAGTCGTTGGTGGATTAATAGAAGGCCTAGCAGTCCTTGGTTGATTAATAGAATACCATCTGTTTTCGGTCTATTAATAGAAGAGCTCAACAGGTGGATTATTAGAAGATCAAGTAGTCGTTTGTGGTTGTTGGTCGTTTAATTAGAGGTCAAGCAATCTTTGGTCAATAAATAGAAGGCTAAAAAGTCGTTGGTGGATTAATAGAAGGCCTAGCAGTCTTTGGTTGATTAATAGAATATCATCAGTTTTCGGTCTATTAATAGAAGAGCTCAACAGGTGGATTAATAGAAGGTCCAGTAGTTATTTGTGGTTGTTGGTCGTTTAATTAGAGGTCAAACAGTCTTTGGTCAATAAATAGAAAGCTAAACAGTCGTTGGTGGATTATTAGAAGGCCTAGCAGTCCTTGGTTGATTAATAGAATACCATCTGTTTTCGGTCTATTAATAGAAGAGCTCAACAGGTGGATTATTAGAAGATCAAGTAGTCGTTTGTGGTTGTTGGTCGTTTAATTAGAGGTCAAGCAATCTTTGGTCAATAAATAGAAGGCTAAAAAGTCGTTGGTGGATTAATAGAAGGCCTAGCAGTCTTTGGTTGATTAATAGAATATCATCAGTTTTCGGTCTATTAATAGAAGAGCTCAACAGGTGGATTAATAGAAGGTCCAGTAGTTATTTGTGGTTGTTGGTCGTTTAATTAGAGGTCAAACAGTCTTTGGTCAATAAATAGAAAGCTAAACAGTCGTTGGTGGATTAATAGAAGGCCTAGCAGTCCTTGGTTGATTAATAGAATACCATCAGTTTTCGGTCTATTAATAGAAGAGCTCAACAGGTGGATTAATAGAAGGTCCAGTAGTCATTTGTGGTTGTTGGTCGTTTAATTAGAGGTCAAACAGTCTTTGGTCAATAAATAGAAAGCTAAACAGTCGTTGGTGGATTAATAGAAGGCCTAGCAGTCCTTGGTTGATTAATAGAATACCATCTGTTTTCGGTCTATTAATAGAAGAGCTCAACAGGTGGATTATTAGAAGATCAAGTAGTCGTTTGTGGTTGTTGGTCGTTTAATTAGAGGTCAAGCAATCTTTGGTCAATAAATAGAAGGCTAAAAAGTCGTTGGTGGATTAATAGAAGGCCTAGCAGTCTTTGGTTGATTAATAGAATATCATCAGTTTTCGGTCTATTAATAGAAGAGCTCAACAGGTGGATTAATAGAAGGTCCAGTAGTCATTTGTGGTTGTTGGTCGTTTAATTAGAGGTCAAACAGTCTTTGGTCAATAAATAGGAAGCTAAACAGTCGTTGGTGGATTAATAGAAGGGCTAGCAGTTGTTGGTTGATTAATAGAACACCAGCAGATCTTTGTGGATTGACAGAACGCACAAGTTCTAAGTTAGCCGACTACAAGTGATTAATGAGTTATAGTAAATTCGCATTTAGAAGATGATAGAATTAAATGACTATTTTACTCCTGCGAATTTCACTTATTTGGAAGTTGTATTAGAAGTAAAACTTCAATAACATTATCTAGGTTTTTTTGTGATAGTTTATAATTAATCCTAGATTTTTACAAGTTAATAAACTATCTATTTATGTTGCTAAATGCTGTAGAAGAGTACTAGTCCACTTTATTCATTTTTCGAATGTCCATTAATATTAAGTTTATTATTTTTTTTACAGATCAGTAGCATTTAACTTGGATAGAATAAAAACCAAAGGTTTCACATTCTACGAGATGTCTTCATTTCCTGAAAATAAAGCAGAGAAAATTATTTGTCAACAGGAGAACAAATTCTTCTTGAAGTATCATCAAATACAATTCAGCCGGGTCTACCCAAAAGTAAATATAATAGATATATACAGATATAAATATATCTATATTATTATATATTTCTATTTATATTTTTCTTGATTCTTTTAAGGGTCAACGAATAGATTCATCAAACTACAACCCGGTATCTTTATGGAACAGTGGTTCTCAAATGGTTGCTTTGAATTACCAAACACCTGACAAGCCTATGCAATTGAATTGGGCTAAATTTAGAGACAACGGATCCTGTGGATACTTGCTCAAACCTGATTTCTTCTTCAGGGATGATTTTAATCCTTATGATAAGAATTCACTGGTAATAAAATAAATGGTTTAAATACAAGTTTTGTTACTTTATTATTGAAATTTTTCTCAGGTAGGTGTTGAGCCAATGTGTATTACGTTAAGAGTTATTGGAGCCAGGCATTTAGGAAAATGTGGAAAGGGTGGTCGAGGTACTGCAAGTCCTTATGTAGAAGTGGAAGTGGTCGGAGCTGATTTTGATTCTGGGGTTAAATTGACATCAAAACCTATAGGTAATTATTAATTGCTAATTATCAGCGTTTGGCTGCACAAATGATACTACTATACGAGATGGTAAGCCGCCTAAGTGTTTTATATACAACATTATAAGATTTTTCATTTACAATCTATAAAAATATATTTAAAAAAAGAGTGCTAGAAAAAGAATAAAAAAACTCATTTGTTACTGTACAAGATGGCATTTAAGTAAAAATAAATACATCACATAACAATTTTGAATAATGTTTATTAGTAATGTGGTAACACTCGTGATGCACACATTTATTAGTGTCAACCATTATACACATTCATATAATAATAAATTATAAATTATATATTTATAATAGCATTAAAAAAATGTATAATATTTAAAAACAATATTTTTTTTTTAAATTTCAATAACTATTACAACTGCTAATTTATTAACATCAAGTAATATTGATAAATAATAATATAAATTTAAATAAATAAAATAAATAAAAGAGCAAAGGATAAAATTTACATGAAAATAATATCCGTAATATGATTTAATGTAAAATATAAGCAAAATAATAATAAAAATAAAATTAATAAATAATATAAATAAAATTTCTGAATAATAAAATAATACTAGAAAAATAATAAAATATAACAAAATAACAATAATAGAAATAGTAAGATAATAATAATAATAATAATAATAATAATAAAAATAATAATAGTAATAATAATAATAATAATAATAACTATAATAATAATAATAATAATAATAATTTACAAATTTATAAGATCATTTGGAATTTTTCGTTTTAGCCTTGTTGGGAAAAACAATAATGTAATTAAAGTAATACTTCAAATATGACATGATCGGTTTGTCATTATAGTTAGCATTTAGAAATAAACCTTCATTAGAGAAGTGAAGTAATTGCTGATTAATAAATCCTATAATATTCGTTTACACAGTGGATTATGTTAAACAACGTCTAAACAAATATTGTTTACGTATCCTCACTCATCATGTAATTGTGTTTGAAGAACTTCATGTAATTAAAATTATCATACATTCATTGACTGCTAATATTTTTTTTACTTTTTTGCTCATGATATAATCTCATTCTTTGAACAGCTGTAATATCTGTCTTGCTAAAAAATATTTTTCATTTTATTAACTTCAAAGATTTATAGAAACTACGAATAATATATAAATAATTTCTAATCAATAAACCAACGTTTAGTAAACAGTAAAAATGTTTAATTTGTTTTATTATTTTCAAGGAACAGAGTAAAATATTCTTCTGATTCAGGCATTTTTCATTAAATCGAGATTTGTACTACGATGTAACTTTAAAATGTTTATTTATCTATGCCGTTTTTCCTTGTTGATATCGGTATGCATACAACGTTGATGCCGGTACGCATACAACGACAGATCTCTTTTCACATACACGACGACTAATCACAATCAACTCGTATAGAAATGATCTCATCGAGAGGGAATGACGAACATTTGGGGCGTAACGGACTTTCATTGCATTTGTACTGATTTACACCCTAGTCGCGCCTAAAGAAGTTTTACTTCAATAATTACACTTATAAAAAATAAGAATATTAAAATAACAAATTATAATTCTCAATCGCAGTAATAAATATTGAAGCAATGGTTGTCACACTTGATGTCGTCTATGGATGACGCTCGTACACAATGGTTGTCCTGCGGATGTCATCTATATTCGACGCTTAAGGATTAAAGTGTCAAGGGTTATGCTAAAGGGTTAAAGTATTATCTATATATTTATAAAATTACCTTCCTTTTTCCTTTTTAGCTGATAATGGTTTCAATCCACTCTGGAACGAGGTTTGCGAGTTTGAAGTAGCAAATCCCTATTTGGCTCTGCTGAGGTTTGTGGTTCAAGAAGAAGATGTCTTCGGAGACCCCAATTTCATCGGACAGGCCACGTATCCTGTGACATGTCTTCGAACCGGTTACAGAAGTGTTCAGTTGAAAAATGGATACAGCGAAGACTTGGAATTGGCTTGTTTGCTGATACATATTTCTATAAGGAATCCTAGGGTGAGTTAATGGAAATTGGAAAGAATTGTATGTGGTAATACCATTACTTTTGTTTATATTAATAAAACTTGCTGCTGCAGTAAATATTAGTTGTGTTAGTAACGAGAAGTGGTCAATATAGATTTCGGATTTTTACGGTTCAGGTTGAGAGTATCTTTTATCAAGAAATCGATATCATTTTGCTTTATGTTAAAAGAAATTGAACCCAGAGGTTTTTTAACTAACGTAGGGTAAGTTATAGTAATCGCAAACAAATCGAAAATGAAAATTTTTATATATCTTTACGTTTCAGAGGTTTCTGAACATTTTGGCATATCTTAGAAAAAATTGATGTATGTGTGTGTGTATGTGGATGTGTAGTGTGCGGATACAAATTTTCGTCGACGATTTCGAGAACACGGTTCATCCGATTTGAATAATTCAACAAAACATTCGATTCGTATCGATAAGGAGACGTGCTGATTAGTTTTTGGCGAAGGCAGGACTAGCCGTTCCGAAGATACGGGGCAAAAAGTGCCAAAAACGGTTACTCAGTTTTTAAGAGAACGGAACGGATTTTAATAATTCAACTAGTGGGGTGGGTGGCATCGTGCCTTAAGGTAAATTGCTGGAACTTCCCGTACCGTAACGAAATGTTCGAGGAATATTGAATGTTTTCAAATAGATTATTATAAATATTGTAACATTGTCTACTATTTATAAGAATTATATAAACTGAATTGTAGAGTTGAAATTATTTGTTTAAAGTATATTAGAACTATAGTCAAAATTAAAAATAAAATCTGAATTATTTTCGATATACAAAAAATAAAAAAAAAAAAAATGGTACAAATTTTTTTTTCCAAAATCAATTATTTTGTTAAGACAAGCAGAAAGTTCTTTGAATCAATTGAATCGGACGCTTAGTTCTCTCAAAAACTGCCATTTTTTGTACATTTAGCTCTGTATCTCCGAAATGGCTGGGCCTGCCTTTGCGAAAAACTAATAACCCCTTCTCCCAATCATTACTAATTGAATGTTTTTTAGATCATTCAAATCGGATGCTCCGTTCTCTCAAAAACTAGATTTCCATTTTCTGCACTCTTTGCTCCTTATCTCCGTAACTGCTGGACTTGCGTTTGCCAAAAACTAATCAGCTCTCCTCCTTATCAATAGGAATCGAATGTTTTTTAAACCATTCAAATCGGTTGATCCGTACGCCCGAAAACGTGGGCGAAAATTTGTATCCATACATACATACACACACACACACACATCCATTTTTTCTGAAGTATGCCAAAATGTTCAGAAACCTTCAAAACGTTGAGAAATGTAAAAATTTTCAATTCCGATTTTCGGCCCATTACAATAACTTACCCTACGGGAAGTTAAAAAACATTTTACTTGTTTTGACAAGATGAACTACTGATTAAATTTTTGGGAGGCAGGTCCAGCGGTTATGGACTTTCAATAAAAATAAGTTTGAAAAATGTCATTTGGCGGTGAAAAATGTTTATTGGACTTATTTACATCAAGTTATCAGATATTTTATAGAGATTTTAATAGTGTGTACACATTTTGTGTAATTTTTTTTGGGTTCCGTGCCAAGATTTTTGATTACGGTACGGAAAGTTCCAGCAATTGGCCTTAAGGCACGATGCCATGCACCCCACTAGTTATAATTACTATGCTGAGGGTTGTGAATATTTTAGCATATCCCACAATTAGAGAAAATGGAAGTAAATTTTGAGAGAATGGATCAACCGATTTGAGTGATTCAGTGTAAGGGTTATAATTGTATTTCTTATTATCTAAACGTACTATTTAGAGCGTAGTATAATACATTTTTTTATATTTTTAGGAAAGTTGCAACAATGGTTTGAATTCTTCATTGAGGAGTTCGGCTAAAAAAATCAGTGATGTGGCTACGAGATTATTATTTGCACATTGAATATAATATAGTAATGTATTAATTATATATATATATATATATATATATATATATATATATATATGTATATATTACGATACATATGGATCTGATTGAGATCTTGATGTTACAGTATAGTATTTTATTTTAAATATTATAAAATAGTTAAATTGTTTGTCAATTTGATTAAGATATATACAAACACACTCTATATATATATATATATATATATATATATATATATATAAATTTTATATTTTTTCTTTGACGTTGCAGCGTAGTCTTGAAATGTTCATTTGCAGTCAAATAGTCTAAATAAAAGGCAATAAATAATTAACTATTTATTATATACTTTTTGACACTGTATGTGTGTCATCATTCAGCATGTTTAACAAATTTAAATCAGGAAAAAACTACAAATAAAAATTATTAAAATTTTTCAATGAGAAAAACTAAAGCTTTGAACAAAATAAAATAAATAAATAAACTTAAAGTTAAATAATAAAATTATTTAGCTAGTCAGATGACTGCCGAATTGTAAAATAATGTATTTAGTTTTGTGGGTGTTTTTTCCTGGCTATTTATTGCTTTTTATTGTGAGAATTTGGCTGTAAAAAATTATTAATATATTTAATATTGTTATGATCAAATACAAATGTTAAAAATTAATAATGTCATATATATATATATATATATATATATATATATATATATATATCAAATGCATGTTGTTAATATTTAAGGGCAATACATCAATTTCAAAGATTTCTATAGTTTGTATAAGTTTTTATTATAATCCATATGTTACGATATATAATTTTATATCATCATCAGTGGTCCAAAAAGAAAAAGAGAGGAAGTAAAGGAATAAGGGGCCGTTCAAGTATTACGTAAGCACTATAGGGGTGTTGATTTGCTTATTTTTGGGATGACATGGGGGGCAGGAAAGTCTGAATTTTTATTTTTTTACATTAATTGCAAAATGTTTACGTAAGCATGGGGGTAGGGGGTAAGAGCTTTGCTTACTTTTGCTGACAAGGGGGATAGGGGGGTAAATATTAGGTTGTCAAATATCTCCCTTCCGCCTTTTTGTATTATAAACCAAGAGCAAAAAAGCGGAAGGGAGATATTTGACAACCTAATATTAATATTTGTAATAAATCTGCTTATGGAATACTTGAACGATTCCTAAGAATAACTTAATTATAACAAGAATAGAATTAAAGAATAATTATTTGCTTACAAATATTCTTAAATTCAGTTCTGATTATAATTAAGTTGTTCTTATTTCTCTTCTTTCTTTCTTTTTTTTTTAGACCACTGATGATGATATAAAATTATATATCGAAACGTATGGATTAAAATAAAAATTTATACAAAATATAGAAATCTTTGAAATTGATATATTGCCCTTAAATATTAACAACATATATATATATGTATATATATATATATATATATATTTGAAAATTACTTCCAATATATTTATGCATTTAGCTGACTAGCTTTAGAGCGATATATATTTTATATAAATTTCTATATATATATATGGTTATAAATTTTAAATCGAATAATTTACATATCTTTAACAAATTAAATATCATTATGTATATGCATATATATATATATATATATATATATATATAATATGCATATTTGTATATTTATAATAATGTCCGAGTTGTGAAATTCTGACCGCATTAAAAATGAAAATTATATTTTAAATAAAAGTTAATGTTTAATATTATGTATTGAATTATTTCTCACCTTTCCTATATAATTATTCAGTGTAGATTTTATTATGTTTTGTCAGCAGTTGTAAAAATAATTATAAAACATAATAATAAAACTAGGTGTAAGTGGCATTTTGTCTTAAGGCAGTTACAAGAAATAATCGACTTAGTAAACAAGATTGCACTTTGAATTAAACAGCTATTTAGATAAAAAATTTAACTGTTTATTTTAGAAGTAAATTTTTGTCTTGATACACTTTAAACACACATATAATATATGCATTAATTGTAATAATTAGAGTGCACGAACGCGCACTTTATATGAATTTTTCTATTTTTAACTTCCCGTAGGGTAAGTTATTGTAATGGGCCGAAAATCGGAATTGAAAATTTTTACATTTCTCGACGTTTTGAAGGTTTCTGAACATTTTGGCATACTTCAGAAAAAATGGATGTGTGTGTGTGTGTGTGTGTGTATGTATGTATGTATGGATACAAATTTTCGCCCACGTTTTCGGGCGTACGGATCAACCGATTTGAATGGTTCAAAAAACATTCGATTCCTATTGATAGGGAAAAGAGCTGATTAGTTTTTGGCAAAGGCAGGTCCAACCGTTTCGGAGATACGGAGAAAAGAGTGCAGAAAATAGAAATCGATTTTTTGAGAGAACGGAGTATCCGATTTGAATGATCTAAAAAACATTCAATTAGTTATTATTGGAAGAAGTGTTTATTAGTTTTTGGCAAAGGCAGGCCCAGCCATTTTGAAGATACGGAGCTAAAAATGTAAAAAATGGCAATTTTTGAGATAACTAAGCGTCCGGTTTAAATGATTCAAAGAAGTTTCTGCTTGTCTTAACAAAATAATTGATTTTGGAAAAAAAAATTTTGTTCCATTTTTTTTTTTTTTTCTTCGAATCGGATCGAAAATATTTCAGATTTTATTTTTAATTCTGACTATAGTTCTAATATACTTTACAAATAATTTCAACTCTGCAATTCAGTTTATATAATTCTTATAAATATTAGACAATGTTACAATACTTATAATAATCTATTTGAAAACATTCAGTATTCCACGAACATTTCGTTACGGTACGGGAAGTTCCAGCAATTTGCCTTAAGGCACGATGCCATAATTGCCTCAAGACAGAATTCCACTTACAGCTAGTTTTCTATTTATTTATTCAACATTATAATATATATTCTGCAATATGTTATTGCAATGTTATATATTATGTTAATAATATAAATAAATGTAATGTAAATGTAAATATATAATATTTGTATAAATATATTTATTTTTAGTCTTGGGTAGGTGGTGAATTGTTAACAAGTACTACAACCTCGTGGAACAAGTGGAGGTAAGTAAAGCCTGCTTTTATGTATAGCCAAGCATTATTTTTGAATTAACAGAAAAGTGCTTGTTTTCTAGACGCTTCAGCAAGATTATTGGAGCAGAGACCATTGATAAAAATGATATATTCCTCATTAGCAAATGTTCGAGCAAGTCACGATGGTCTGATGGGTGGTGGTTGTCTTCCATACAATGTTAAAACACATTCAAAACAGAATTGGCTTGTGTCAATATTACAGTAAGTGGAAAAATAACTTAGCTGAAAAATATACGATAAAGTCAGTTACATATTTTTATAATTAAACCAGTTTTTGTTGGCCTACAATAATTTAGAATTTTGGTCTGAACCATGAACTCTATTGCCTTTTTTTTTTCAATATTTAATTACCAAAAAATTGAGGGTCGGAACAATATTTTAGAATGTTGGTTTGAACCATGAACTCTATTGCATTTTTTTTTCAATATTTAATTACATTAAATGGCTGGCACAGAATTACAAAAGGGCTTTACCCCTTTTTTAGTGTTTTCCGCACTCAATAGAGGGTCTACTGTGCCTCACTTCACCACTCTTTTTAAAGTACTGGTTCTCTTATTATAATATACACATTTAATGTTTAATATTATGTTTTATTTATTTTTGTGAAAACATACTTGTGACTTGGTGGAAAAAATATTTTATACTGTTCTCATTTCATTTATTAAAGTTAACCAGTTAATCTTTCTTATGTGATTTATATAAATCTCATCTATGATTAAACCTAGCGGTAAATTTACTTGCTAAAGTTAGTGGCGCCCCTATGGAGTGCGGAAACAATTAAAATTGAATTGATCATAACCATTTGAAAATCTTTCAAATGGTTATGAAATTTTAAGAATGTTCAGGCTTTTATTATGAAAACGGAATATTTTGCTTGATTTTACTTTTCTACTAATTCTAAAGAAACGGCTTATGCTTATTAACTTTCCGAAGGAGAAGTTTATGTTTTCATCAAAAAATCCGATTCGCTAATTTTATGTTTTCTCGACGTTTCAAGCCATGAGACCAAATTTGGAAAAAGTATGTGTGTGTGTGTGTGTATGTGTGTGTGCGTGTATGTGAACAGATTTTTTGCCGTAAATCGACGTTTTCTCGAAAACGGCTGGGTCGATTTCAAAAATTTAAAAGCCATTCGATGTATCTCGACGAGAACTATTGTTTGTCAGACGATCGGCCAAGCCGTTTCTTTATAAATGGCAAAAAAGTGAAAAATTTTTCGTCTACGTTTTAGCCCGCAATTCTGAATCGATTTCGAAAATTCAAAAACCGTTCGAAAGATATTGGTTGGGAATCGTGCTGATTAGGTTTTGGTAGAGATCGGCCGGGCCGTTTTCTTGTAATAAAGTTTAAAAAAAAATTTTTGACGATTTTTATGATTATTTTTTTGACGGTAGATACCATAGTCTTCTAGATCATACTAAAATATTACGGCCCTACGACAACTGATTCAGCTTTAAAAATTCGTCAAAGTTTGCAAAAATTGGTATCGTTTTTTTGGCATTTGTCAAAATTAGACCTTTGATCGACGTTTTTTCTCAAAAACGCCTGAGCCGATTTTAGAAATTTAAAAGCTATTTGATGTATTTCGGTGAGGACTATCGTTTGTCAGTTTTGTGTGTCGATCTGCCAAGCCGTTTCTTTGCAATTTGAAAAAAAGTGTTGAACTTTTCGTCCACATTTAAGCTCATCCTACCGAACCGATTTTAAAAAATCGAAAACTGTTCGAAAGATATTAGTTGGGAATGGTACTGATTAGTTTTAGGTGAAAATCTACCGAGCCGTTTTCTTGTAATTAACTGTTGAAAAAAAAATTAAGCCGATTTTCATGGAACTTTTTTTGGCGATATACATCATGGTCTTATAGAACATACTGTAATATTACGGCCTTACGACA